CTAATTATTTAGGCCTCTTATGGGAGAGTGCCATCAAACTGAACTAAGGTGTTCGGGCGAGCAGTTGTAGTTTGTGGGGCATTTGCACCACCACGGCTGCTAGAGAGAGTAACCCTGCCCCGACTGCCTCCTGTCCCCTCCTGCCCGTTGCATTAGCTCTGCACCCTCTGACCTGCTGCAGCTGCTTGGTGGATTGGATTGAAGAGCTGATACTTTGGGAAAATAAACGGTGTCACCACTTGCACAGCCTGGGGTAGTGTGGAGCTGGAAATAAGGGCCACAGCAGGGAAAGAGAAGCTAAGGTCTCTTTTTTTTCTGATGACCATGTCACCTCAACACTCTCAGACTGAAGCCTCAGTAGAGAAAAAAAGGAGGACTGATTGCAGCTAAGAAGAAATAAATGTTTTTATGTAAGTAACGTAGAGAGTGGTACCACAGCTGTAAGGAACCAGTGTCTATGAAACAACTACAGTTCAGTCTTGTAAATCCTTTTTCAGTCAGGAGGGTAAGAATTCTACTAACAAAATCTCTTCATCTTTTTACTGAGGTGATAAATACTCTAATTAGGAGACAGATAGATTTTTCTGTTGGCTGTCCTGGGGAAAGATGTGAGTGCTGATAGCTGTCACCTTGGGGGAGGCTGGTACAATATCTACCCACCTGCTGGTGAAGCTTGAGGAATTGTTTCCTTTCTTAGCCTAAACTTGCATAGTTAATATTACTCTCTATCTCTGCAGGAAATTGAATATGACACGTGGTGAAGCTGGGGGCTGGTATTGCTTCAGCTATCTGTTTTGTAAAAGAGCCAGAAAGTTTCTTGTATTGATTTAAAACAAAAGTGTGCTGTTGTGTATATCAGTGTTCAACATTTCAAATCTGTAAAATGATTCTCATATAACTTGCTAATGATGGACCATGTTGTGTGTTGGATTTGATGTTCTCTTTCAAAACTAATAGTCCATTTCCTCTTTACATGTCAAATTGTCCTGAACTCTAGGGTTTCTGTAAATAACTTATTTATACTACAAAAAGCCAGAGTTTGTAAATTTTTTTGAAAATTAATTTGCTTACAGTTGAGTGAAAGATTTTAATGATTTTCTTACCTGTTTTCCTATCTGATTTCTAACCTACACCCTTTAAATTTCTTTTTATAATTAATAGTTCCCTTGTTATGAGCCCTGATCAATTGTAGAAAATTTTAAAAATATGCTATGTTTTCTTATTCTATGTTTTCAATGTATTTTGATATAGATGTCTGTGCAGCAAATCTGACAGGGCTGAAGGACTGAGCAGGACCTGATTCTGAATTTAATAACAATTCTTGTTTTCTTAGCTCTGTTTTGTTTTTGTTTTTGTTTTTGTTGTTGTTGTTGTTGTTGTTGTTGTTGTTGTGGTTTGGTTTGTTTTTTTTCCCTCATATTTCTTTATGTTTTCAAAATGTGGGACAGAATTTAAGGAAGATTTCCAGATTTCCATTGACTAATACAAAAGCAGCTACAGTTGCTCTGGGAGCATCTAGCAGGAGTTTAGGATGCAAAAATATTGAAAGCATTCATAACTAGGGAAGCATCACTCAGTCATTCATTTCCTATTAGCCGCTGACTTTCCTAAAAATGATTTTATGTGGAGCATGTTCAGATATCATGGTTTTGTGTTAAATTAATGTCAGGTAATGAATTGCTGGGAATGAATTATCCAATGTGGTAACAGAATTGTTCAGATCCAGGTGCTCTTCAGGCACTGTCAGCAGGAACTGAGCTGAAACTCTAATTCCTGAGTGTTGCCTGCTATTGCAGATTTAGTGTCCTGCTTTACATAGTTTGTACTGAAGGAGCTAGAAAAAGGCTGCCTGGCAGCTGACTCCTTTGGGAATCCCTGCTAAAATGAAATGTATATTTCATAAGGCCATCCCAGGGAACAAAATTTTAAGTAAACATACATTTTAAATGAGTAAGCAATTGTCTACTGGGATACTGTGTATGGAGCTTTATTTTTATATATATATATATATATATATACACTCATCTTTCAGTGTGGGGAATTACACACATAATCCACAAGTAGAGAACATGCTGGTTAACGCTTAACATCCCTCTGAACACAGCTTTGCAAGCTAAATCAGTAAACACTATAGGAAGGATATTCTCTGCATAAGGCCCAGTTTCACTAAAGTCAAGTCAAAACTCTGCTGCCATAGGAGAGTGTTTTACTGACATATAGACTCTGCAAGAGGTGTGCTTGGGTATTCCTGGAGAGCACATTTTAACTGGACTTACCTGCAGTGACTTGAAGGTAACTATATTTGGAATATTTCTGGATATTGATATGTATTTGTGTGACACAGTTCCTGTCATCATAATTCAGCTTTAATGGGTTGGTTTGTTTAAGGTTTGTTAGAAACTGGACACAGTGAATGTTTAATCTCTTGTGACTTTAAACATCTGTGTCATAGGTGTCTACACCTGAGTGAATTGTTCTGGACTCCTCTTATTTTCAGCTGGAGAAGTAGATACTGTTGTAGTGTATTCACGTGGTTTGTTTTAGGTCTCTTCTTAGGATGAGATGTCTTAGATCCTGGACTCTGTCATCTACATTTTGACTATTCACAGAGATGAGGATGACTGGTTCAGATCTAGATGCCTGTCTCTAGCTGAAGGCACAGAAACCCTACCAATGCTGACTCGCAAGACTTTGTTTTGTTGTTGCTGTTGTTGGGATAGAATTCTGAAGTTGCATCTTTAACATTAATAATTTTATAGAATACAGTTTTTTATTTTATGTTTATGTGGGAAAATTGGACCTGAGTGATAAAGGAAGAAAATTTGATGAATTATTCAATGATTTTCTCTTTCTTCACTTCTATAGTTCAACAGAGCTATAAATAAAGGCATTTATGTATGTGTGTGTATATATATAGTTGGAAAAACTCTTTAGGACAAGGTGAACAGAGTGATTTCTTTGTTGTTTTTTCATGCTGCAATTCAGGCTTGCTGCTATGATACCTTTTCTGAACTGATTGCATCAGTCTAAAAGAATAGATTGTCGAATATGCCAAAGAACAAAAGTAAAATAGAGTAAAAAGAATGTCTTCAGATCTGGACCCTTCATCCTTTCAAGTCCTCTTGCATTTTCAGAAAGCACTCAGATCTTATCTGCTGCCTACAAAAAAATAGCCACATTAAAATTAGCAGCACTCAAAGACAAGTTAGAGGATCATCTCAAAGATTTTAAGGTACACAGCACATCCTGTACTCATAGGTACATATAAAACTGTTTAGCAAGTCACAGGGTGGGATAGTTGATTTTTTGTTAATAAGACTTAGCATTTGTGCCTCTTCTATATATGTAAGTAGTCTCTTATTAATAATGAGAGGAATTTATGTTTTCAAACATATTTGTCCTTACCTCGCACTGCTCTGAGTAGGAAAACAGGTCACTTGAGAAATAGACGCAGTCAAGAGCATGCTCTGACAGGGCTGCATTTAGTCCATCTTTCACCTAGGAAGAATCACTGCAAAGGGGTTCCTCTTCTGTTTGCTATGTGTATGTTGCATGCCCACACCACTGCTTTCTCTGCAAGAACTTGGTGTAGCAGGTCATTGTGCCATTTGGCAAGGGATTGAAATCAAAGGGGGGAATTACAGAAAAAACACACAGAAAAGATAAAGATTTCACAGTGCCTTGATCTTACAAGTTTTTCTTACCCTGTCCCCTGTACTTTTTACATTGCTTATGTCAATACTCCAAATTACGTCAATATCCAGGAAAGGATTAATCCCGTTTGACAAGTCAGTATAAACCTAGATGTCATGCTTTTTTTTTCTATCCTGTGGGAAGAGAAGGGAGTCAGTAATTAAATTGTGTGTAAATGGACAAAATGGCAGTGTATGCAGTCTGGTTAAAACTCAGGTCCCAGTGCAGTGTGAGGTTGGAGGATGGGCTGTTCAGCTTTGGCCGTGCAAACATAAAACCTGTGAAGGTAGACGAGGACTGACGGTACAGGGCTGACCGAACTCAAGCCAGAGGAAAACCTTGCTTCTTAGATAGTTCCTCTTTTCCTTACACTTTGTTTCTTTTTCATTTTATCATTTTTTCCCTTTGCAATATATCAGCTGCAGCTTAATGGGATACTGAGGTGGACAAGGGATGTAGGTCCTTATAGTTCACTGGACTTAATTCTTAATAGTTTTCAGTTAAAAAAAAAAAAAAAAGAGAAAAGAGTCATTCTTGTTCATACACTGCAATCTGTTATGTTAACTCTATTGTGTTTGTATTGTTGGCGTATTTTTTTAAGCACTTGTGTAATAGTGTATTAGAGAAGTTTGAGGGGTAAATGTAGGTAAACATTGATACATTAATCCTGACCATTATGTGTAGTGTAAAATTCATACTGAATTTGATGTATACAATACATTTTCTGTATATCAATCTATTTCATTATTTTCTTGTACAGGAACTACCTAAATTTAGCATTTTTAACAATAAAGAATCAATGTAGGTCATGAGATGTTAGATCTCCTTCCTTCCCTTGCAATGTCTTTTATTTCTGAGTTACATGGCAGTAACATGAGACCATAGGAGCCTTTATAAAATATATATATTAGTGAAAAAATAAAGATTATGAAATTTATGTTCAGTGCTCTGAGGAATTGTTTTTGCATTGATATTATATTACAAATGATAGGCTACATTGTAACTTAACAAAGGCATGTATGCTCACTTCCAGTTGATAGTGTCAAAAATAACTTTTGGTAGTAACATTCTGAATTGTTAATCATATTGTTGTTCTATGCTGAAATCCTTGACCTAAATATTTATGAGGGAATCGGTTCTACAGTACACGACATTAGTGCCCTGCATTATGTCCATGTAAGCAAGAGTAACCTTCATTATTCACATGCTCTCAGAGACAGTGGCAGTGGTTGGGAGTGGGAAGTCTGAGCCCCTGGATCCTGGGGGTTTCTCTTGCTCATTTTCTGTGTCTCATTCTCTCTCTGCAGATCAAACATTCCCTGAAGTGTGGTAGAAGGCAGGAAGAATGACATTTGCTAATTTGAATTTCAGAAAGCACCTAAACCACATTCTGATCTCCAGGTAAGTGTCTGTGAGACACTTGGCTTTGACACTTGTTAAAACTTAATCACATATCTTTTTGGTGCCAAGCTACTGTACGCAGACCAAAGAGAGGAGTATGCATGAGTATGTGCTTGTGTTTGTGAGGGAGGGAATACTGCATTCGTTTGTACAGATGACGTGAAGTAAAACCAACATTGCTCTGAAAAATATGAGATCAGCTTATGGAAAAGGAGGAAAGATTTTGTGACAACTGAAAATTTTAAACTACAGGTGTCCTAATGCAGTTGCTCTATGCAAGATTTCAAGAAGGAAACATCTGGGAACATGTAATTTACTAATTTAAATCAGGCTTTATTTTTGTGTATTCATTCTCTTCCTCTTCCCCCAAACTGCTTTTTAAAAATACCCTCAGGTATGTCACGGGCTATGTCAAAGTCCTTTCTTAAGCAGTAACTGTCAAATGTAAAGAAGAAGAAAAACAAGTAGCATATTCTAAATGTCAACAGTAACTAAATAGGTTCTCTCTGTGAAGATCTGTATCTCCAAAGAAGTTTGAAACATGTTATCTATACTGTGAAACTGCATATTAACCATGTAAAGGATGTATATGCTAACCAGTGACTCAAAATGAAGTATTTTGCTTTAGATGCCTCATTGTATTTATTAGACTGAAGATTGCAAAATATTTCCTGTGCATTCACTTATATTTGAAAACAAATTCATTTCAGTCAGGACTGGGCTGCTTCTTTTGGAAGTATTTGAGGCATTGAATTTTGCCAGCCTGAGTGCTTATGGGAGGTCTATTGTGTATGATCTTGTTCAAATATTGCATACACCAAAAGTGCTATGAAAGTGCTATGCTGAGATAACCAACTATGTTGGTGCTGATGCAAGATTGACTCACTGTCTGCTTTAGATATCAGACTGAGATACAATCTAGTGCACCAAAATTTAGGAGCCTGTGTTCCTCAAAGAGTCGGTGAAAAGGGTGGGCACCTCTGAAGGGTGACTTGTGCAAGCTGTCAAGGGGAATGGCATGAATATGCCCCATTGTGTTTGCTTGCAGACTAAATATATCTGACAAACAATATTTCCATCAGTTTCATGGTATGTTTGCTATGTCAGCATGTTTATGCCAGCAATCAGCTGCCATATTTTATGCTCATGTAAATATGGCTTAATGCATGAAATGGAAAAGATTCCCATGCTCCCTGATGGGGATACTTCATGGAACATGGGACATAGTTGCTGTTAGCACTGTGCATGTGATTGGTGAACAGGGGAAAATAGACCATTAAATGCTGTGTGCTGCATGTGCTGGAGATGATGTGAGACACTGCTCAACAGAGCAGAGGTCTGTGATCCCTTAAACATGCTCTCCATCAAATGATTAAATACAGCAGTCCTGCTAAGTTACACGTACTTTCTGGAACAGGGTGATATACAAACACTTAACAGTCTTAGCTATGTCAAATATTGTTATCAGGTATAGTGACCTTGTCTATGATGTTCAAAAATAAACCCAAAAGTGTGCAAAAGAGGATAGTTTGTTCTTCATACTCTTGGTGGATAGTACAGAAAAACACGTAGCAGAGAAGACTTCAGTGAGGTACAAAAAAAGCCTTTCCAAGAAGTATTGAAAGAGGCTGCGTGGAGGCTGTGAAATTGTCATCCTTGAGAATCTCTAACTTGGCAAAACATGTCTGTTGTGTCTGCCATGTGATGATGAGCCACCATTGAGTCTGTGGTGAGTGCTGCCGGGGAGATGGTGGCATCAACAGCTGAGATGGGAGCTGCAGTGAACACCTGGGCCATACCCAGGAGATGGTCTGCTATAGAGTGCAGTTTTGGCTGGGTTTTTCAAAGGCCATCACCAAGACTCCTGTTTCTGTATTAGTTGTCTCAGCTTTCCCTGACACACAGCATTGTTTTAGTAGCAGGGAGGAGCCCAGGCAGTTTTTGTCAGCAGAACGATCCAGGAGTTGTGCTCACTGCCAATTATTCAGACAGACATCAGGAAGGCCTTGTTTACCAGAAGTTTTCTTCAGCAATTTCCCACCTCAGAATGAAGCATGATCATTTTCGCATGTGTTGTGAGCACTATTTATAGCTGAGCCGTGAGAAATGTGCTCGCTGCAGAACTGACACAGTCATTCGATGCAATGTATGATTTCTCCCCAACCCCAGATGTAATAAACACAAACTGTGATATACATTTTACTATAAACACAGTTAATCACAGTGATTAATTCTTATGATTTCTTAGCATGTTAACAAAGTGAAGAAATATTAACAGATATAGTAATGGGTTGAAGAAGGACGTTTCTGAATCACTGTTTTACTTACTGTGGACACATCATTTTGCCTCTTTGTGATCAGTGAAGTCCCCAGAGATTGCTCTATCTTCATGAAAGTACTGAATAAAGATAGATTCAGGTCATCTGTAGTGTATGGTATTAGTGTCTTTTCATAATGGTTCCTAATGCACATTTTTAATATTTTTGAGAAGGCAATTTGTTACTATTTTTCAATCTATCAATACATTCATAGTAATTTCTAACATTCCTAAAAAGGCACAGTCTTGTTCTTGGTGAAAAAACTGGGCCTTAAGGAACTTACGGTGTAAACGTTTCTTATCACTGGAGAAAGTCTGTGCTTGTGAAATGCAAGCTGGCAATGGATGGTGTGGAGCTACTTGAATGGAGCTTGGAAAAGATGTAGTACCTTCCCTTCGATCTTCTAGGTATGTGTCCTGTGTCCAAATAAGGGAGAATGCAGGCTGGTTCCTTAGCTCCATGGATCACCAATCACACTACATTGTGATCCATGGATCAAAACTGAGGCAAAGAGCGTAGGAAGCCAGGTTAGGCCGTCTCCTTCGTCCTTACTGCCTACCTGGGGTTTCTTCCTCCCCTTTGGTACACAGTGCCTGTATTCCCAGTGGGGCAGCAATGACCATTTTGACAAAGCACTACACAAGGACAGCAGGAGAGGGAGGCCCAGCACCTTGCTTGCAGCACACCATGCAAGCATTAGCCGCAGCTTCGCCCTAAAGGTTCTTACTCTTGCTGACAAACTCTGATTTATACAGGATGTTGTAATACTGGTTTACAAATGGGGTAATTGAGATAGTTGGCATGATAGCTGGACCTCAAATGCTGATGTCTTGCAGCACTGTTGAAGGCATTACCAAGGCTAACTGCCCTGAGTGTCCACCCTCCCACATCTTGCAGCATGATCAGAGGGGTGCTGAAAACCCCCTGTGAGAGAGGTTACATCCCTGACTTGGTCTCCAAGGTGTGCCCTGTAGCTGTAAGGGCTGTATCACTGCTGTTCCAGGGACCCTCATGCTGTACGCAGGCCTGCTCTCACCTTCAGGCTTGCAGACACTCAGTGACTGGGCTGGCAGTGGTGGCATCTCCACAGTTTGACTAGTAAGGGGTCCCTGCACCAACGAGCATCTCTGTGCCACCTTATCCTTCCTCCATGTGAAGGCGCAGCCTCTATTTACAAGTTCAGACAATGTTAACACTTGGGAACCAGCAGGGAGGGATGGAAAGCATGGAGCCTATATCTGACCATGACCCTGGTTTCTTCTCTTCCTCCCCTGTCATTTGCTATGAGACCCTGTGCCTTATGTAGGGTTGCATGGTAGAGTCATAACATCTGCATAGTTTGGAAAAATAGGAGGCTGAGTGATAGATGACTAATTGCATGCCACAAAACCTGTGGTCCAAGTTTTTCTTTGTGCATGCCCATAGGAGGTACAGCTAGATATGCTGGGAGTGATTCAAACACCTTTAGTGTGGAGGCACACACGATATTCCGGACACGCTCAGGAGCTTTCTGACTGAGCAATGTAGACACAGGCACTCCCTATAAATCATGGTTCCATTTTTATCTTAGTGGCAGAATACAAAATTCAAACCGAATCCAACTCTGGATATCCTTAAGTTGCTTCCAGACAGCAGAATAAATTTTCCTGAGCTGAACAGGGCACATGAATTCTGAAGCCAAGTCTGAGTTTTCCAAATTGAGCCAGGATCTAGGTAGGAAAAAAAAAAAAAAAAAAAGAACATCTTGTTTATAATAGGAAATGGGTGCTTGACTACTGGGGTGTGGTATGTATTTGTGAAAGCTTCAGAGAAAACCAAACAGGCTGGTTGTCTGCAGGCTGCATTTCAGCAGAAGGGCTTCAGGTATGCATTTCTGAGGCCAGCAGGCATGTGCTTCTTAAATCTATCTGCCCACCTGAGCAAAACCTGCATTCACAGCTTGAAGGTCTGTTATATACACATTGTGTATAGCAGGATGTATATAGGGTTTGAGTGGAATGTTATTCGTGAATGGATGAAATAGAGACAAATTATAGGAAAAAATGTTGAAAGGAAAGGAAATGGCATTCAGGAAGATGAGGAAGACAAGCAGCACAGGGGCAGTCTAACAATGTGACAGACCCAGAGGCAGCTATAAAGCTCCAACACAATTATTCCTGGACCCTGTCGTCTTAGCTGCTTTGGCATGTGGTCCAGTAACTGGGAACAGGGAATAATGATCAGAGCAGCAGTAGGTTGTGGTTTTGTACAGCTCACCACAAGCTTTCTCTTTCCTGTCAGAAAGTATGTGTATTTGTTTTTAAAAATAGCTTTAAAACCTCTCTCTATTATTTTTGATGACACTGATGATGGAGAAATCCTGCCAATGAACTAAAAAAAAATTTCTAAAATATTATTTTCTCATAATGTTACATTTTATGAGGAGAAAATGAGTCCCTAGTATCTCACTTATATTAGAAGAGATGTATATACATAGATTTGTTCTAAGTACAAGAATCTATACTGACAAGTATGATCTTGTGAATGTTTTTTCTAGCATACATCTACCCATGTAAGTAAAGTTATGTGAATGACTTGTGAGTTTTGAGTGCACAGCAATAGGGACAGGTAAAATGTTAGCTGCTTTTAACATAAGTTATGCTTTGTTATTCCGCATTATTTTCAAGAACAGAAAAAGTGTTT